AGAATATTTTCTATTTAGTAAATATCTGTGCATGGCTCTCCATTCATATTTGAATAGCAGCTTGTGAGTTTGAGGAGGAATATATATCTGCTTTGAAAATAAATTATCCTATTTGTTATCACAAATAACAAGGATCTAGGATCTTCATGATCCCCATGATTTGTTATAACCATTAACATGGGCTTTTATATTAAACAAAATGTGAAAATCAGTCATTCCCCTAGATTTGTTGCTGCTTTCTTTCCAAGTAGAATGAAAGATGGGGGGAGGGATTGAGCTGATTCCCCCACCCCCCGCAGTACTTTTTTCTGTACAAGATATTTTTTAAAACGTGTTGAGCAGAACTCGAGGAAGAGAAGTTGATTGTTGACTATATGCTTTCCGAGAAGCCATTGTACCAAGATTTATTGTATCTTTTCCAATATGATTGCAGGTTTTAAAAATAATTAAGCACAAATTTATGATTGTGCATGCATAATTATATGTAATCATAAGTCAAGTATTAAACACAAAGCAAATCAGTATGTTAGCTTCCCTCTTCTCTGTATATCTCAGTGAAACAGCAGTTTTTAAAATTATGTTCTCTTTTTGACTTTTCTTCCTCCTCTTTTCTCTAATAGGATGAATCATCCATGTTCTTCCAGTTTGGCCCATCGATAGAACAACAAGCTTCTGTTATGCTGAACATCATGGAAGAATATGACTGGTACATTTTCTCCATTGTCACTACCTACTTTCCTGGCTACCAAGATTTTGTCAACAAGGTCCGTAGCACTATTGAGAACAGCTTTGTTGGCTGGGAGCTAGAAGAGGTACTCTTGCTGGACATGTCTCTGGATGATGGAGATTCAAAGATCCAGAATCAACTCAAGAAACTCCAGAGTCCTGTCATCTTACTGTACTGTACTAAGGAAGAGGCCACTTATATCTTTGAGGTGGCTAATTCTGTTGGTCTGACTGGGTATGATTACACATGGATTGTGCCCAGTTTGGTGGCTGGAGATACAGACACAGTTCCGTCTGAATTTCCCACTGGACTCATCTCTGTGTCATATGATGAGTGGGACTATGGTCTTCGTGACAGAGTGAAAGATGGAATAGCCATAATAACCACGGCCGCCTCTGATATGCTATTTGAACATAGCTTTATTCCTGAGCCCAAGAGTAGCTGCTACAATACACAAGACAAGAGGATCTACCAATCTAACATGTTAAATAGGTAAGGGAAATAAATATTATAATAAATCGGTTACTCACAAATTCAGATCATAATTAAAAGACATTAAAATGGTTGGAGTTTTTGTGTATGGTAGTTTTGGAGTCCCCCATCCCACCCCTTTGTATATGATTCTCATTCAATGCAAAACTAATTGAGTATATACTTAGCAATAAGGAACATGTATATGAATGCAAACTTCTTGGTGATGGGATGATAACAATTACATATTTCTAATGTTATAAATTATACTGTTGTTCTGGAACTATTCTCAAATCCTTCTCTAAGATATTAAGTATAACTGGTGGAAACATTTATCAAGGAGACTCTTAAAATAAGCATTAAAAATAATTGGTAGATCTGTAAATGCCATCTCTAAGTACAATAAAATTTTGGCAACATATAAGTAGAGAAATATGATTACAAAGCAAAAAGCTGCTAGATCCTGGGAAGAAAAAAATTGTTTTACCAGGGAGATAAGAACAAGGTTCAGATACCATAGAATACATGAGTCAGATTAAGGAACAAAAAAATCAAGAATAATGAGATCATTAGGAGAAGGTATTAAGCACAGGACTGGCAGAGAAAAAATGCCACAGGTCAGTATGAAAAAGCAGCATGTAGGTGTGGTAGATAGGATTGGAGTATGATATGTTGAAGTCCTGGCCTAGAAATCAGGAGATCATGAGTTTTACTCTTGTTTATGCATGAAAGCCATCTGCCTGACCCACCTCAGAGTTGTTACTGTAGGAAAGGTAGCACATGGAGGGAATATAATGCATGTTCTCTGCATCACATTACTTATAATGTAGTAAAGTAATATCTAGTAAATATGATACATGTTTGATCTACTATGTAATTAGTGTAAATAGTACCAAGAGAGAGACAGGATTTTTTCTAACCCTGAAGTGAGAAGCAAAACTTTCCATGCTGGGATGAAAGATTAATTCCAGTTAGTGTAGTTCAAGGAGAAGGAGTCTACTATTCATTTGGAAATTGGATTCAGCCACTGAATCTGTGACTTGGCTGGGTGTTTTGTCAAGCCGGATTCTTAAGGCAGCATGCAGGAGAAACAGGTTTTTGCTACAATCTGTTTTTAGTCAGCATAATTTTCCAGAATTCCATTGGTTATTTGAGATTTTGAGCAATTGGACTTCAGTCATATAACCAAGACCTGGAATATTACGGCTGTTCTGTGGGATGAAGTTACAGGAACACATTGTTAAGAAAGTAAACATCAGAATCTAATTTCAATGAGATGCATGTCCATAACTTTAGGATTATGGCTTTAAATTTTAAAATATCTAGATAGAAATAAAAGCCAGTGTTCACCTATTTATAGAATCATCTTCTTATTGAAATATTTTATTAGTGCATAGTACAAATAAGACATATTTTGTTTTTTGTTTTTATAGGAGTGGAAGTTAAGTTGTGACCCATGAAATATACATACTAGAATTTATCAAAAATCCTTTATTCACAGGACTCCTTAGACCAGTGTTTCTCAACCTTGGCGACTTTAAGTCCTGTGGACTTCAACTTTCAGAATCCTCCAGCCAGCATAGCTGGCTGGGGAATTCTGGGAGTTTAAGTCCACTGGACTTAAAGTCACCAAGGTTGGGAAACACTCCTTAGACTATGAGAAGTAAAGTAGATTCTTTTGCACAGCTTCTGTTCATTTTTTTGTTTTTTCATAGAAAATGGTGTCTGCACGTATTCAATATGTGCAACAGAAAAACGATTGCAATCATAGTTTTAAGAGTCTTTTCTAAGGAAAGTTAGAGATTTTACATTTTTAGTAGTTACAGGTTTTTCTTGCCTTATAAGTAGCAGTCAGTGAAATGAGAGGCTCACAATATAATGCTGACATAGCTGATATTTTGTGATTCCTCAGGTTTATGGGGAAGATCAGAGCAGAAAATGTGGGGCTGCTGGTTTTGAAGGCAGCCATGCATACATACAGTGTCACTTCCATTTCTGGTTCAAGAGAGAGATGAAGCTCTGAAACTGCCAAAGCAAGAAATTTCAGACATCGTTATAAACTCACTATACTCTTCTACGGGAGATTCTGTCTCTTTGGCAAGAAGAGTCCATGTACTGTAAGCAGAAGGTTATAAATTTTAAATGAAACTGTTATTCATAAAGTATTTCCACGAGGGGCCCTTTTTTCTGCCCCGTTTAATAAATGTGGAGAACTGCTGACAAGATGATGAGGAAAAGAAAGGGCTAAAAGAGCAACGTTTATGGGCTGCCTTTATGTGATGATATGAATGTCTTGTAATATCATCATATAAGGCTTACAATAATAAATCCCTTCCCATAGAAAAAAATATTGCTGTTTAGTTTCTGGGGAAATCTGTAGTCTCCATAACAAGTTTCTATAGGGGGGAAAACCCCTTGAGGTTCCCCACAATAATTATGCTGCTACAATGTTGTTCTTTCCTTGGAGATTCCCCTGCTGTTTAGCAACTGATAACCCAGAGGTAGATTTCTGCCGGTTCGGCCCAGATCAAGCGAACCGGTAGTGGTGGCGGCGGGAGGCTCCGCCCACCCACCCGGACGCTTTTGTGCATGCACAGAAGCTTTGTGTGTGTTTGTGCATGAGTGAACCATTAGTAGAAAAATGGAAACCTACCACTGTATAATCCCCA